TAAAAAAAAAAAAAAAAAAAAAAACAAAGAAAAAAAGAAAGAGAGAAAAAGAGACAGCACTATATAATTCTAACAAAACGTATTAGATCCTATTCTCTTCCTATTATCCTTTTCAGAGTTTCACTTCAAAGTGACTCTGCAAAACTATTACTCGTACTGTATATTAATTTACAGAAAGTGGGGGGATCAAAAGTTTCAAAATGTTTTTTAAAATCAATTATCTATTTAATTCTTTTCTTTTCTTTTTACGAAACCTTTTTCAAACTCGTAATTTTAAAAAAGATATTAATTATTTGACTAATCAAGAAATGTGTGATATGATAAATGATATTTCAAAATTATTTAGAGATTTTTTTTGAAGGTCGTACGATTAGATGTAATTAAAATAAATAAAAGTTTACCTGGTTCATGTAAGATCTCATAAATTCCATACTCTGATCAAGAGCATATGTTTCGCTGCTGCACGAATCTAATATTAATGCACCCAATGTTGAATTAGGTAGAAGTTCGAGATCATTATTGATCTCGTCCAATGCGTATAACATTGCTTCCAATCGTTGAACACCTTTTTCTTCTTTAACTGCACCACAAGGTGATTCACCGATTGTGCCAGCACTGCGTGTTCTCGTCCATATCTGAAACAAATGGAAATATGTTTTAATACCTGTAAAAATAATATATATATACACACGAAAAAACATTAATTATAAATAAGAATAAAATATGAAATTTATTTCTATATTTATATTTCGCGTGTTTATTAAAAATTCTATTAATAACAATAAAAATAAGTAAACGTAAATAATTTATTTTCAATCGGATTAAAATAATACGTCATTGATAAAGCATCGATATTTGATGATCTACAATTTGAATATTTCTTTTAAAATGTACGAGTAATGTATTATAAAATATAATAGAAAAAAATGATTTATATAATAATATATAAAATATAATAAAACATTGAAATATAAATCTCTCTGCCCATCTCCTTCAATTCTATTTATTTCAATTCAAATTTCTACCGCATATTTACAGGTGAAATATATATTTGTATAAGATAAAAAAAGAAAAGAAAGAATAATAAAACGTTGAAATAAATCTACCTCTCATTGCATCCTATTTATTTCAATCTCCATATATCCACCTCATATCCACAGTTGAAATATTTCCTAAAAAAAAAAATATCAAACCAAAACTAAAAATTAAAAATCATTAAAATGAAAAAGACTGTAAGAAAAGAAAAAAAAAACGAAAAATAACAGAGAGAGAAAGATAAAAAATTAAATATTTTACAAAACAAATAAGTAAATCAATGTAACGAGAGAGTGATTTACCGAAAAGAAAAAAACATTGAATTGTTCGAAGTGAAAAATGTTCGTTCGAGAAAGGGAAAAACTAACGTTGCAAGTTCCATACATCTTCAAAGGGAATAAACTCGAACGATAAAGTTCGAAAAAAGAAAAAGAGAAAGAAGAAAGGAATGGTCAAGGAGTTAGTTCTTCTCGAACTAACAAAAGGTTTTTTGCAAAAAGCTCGAAACGAGAATCCCATTTTAGTTAGGAAAAAAGGGTTATTTTTTTGTAAAAAAGAAAACATCACGAACAAATAAATAGAATGATTCGTTAAAAACTATGAACGATTTGGAAAGTTAAGGAAATCATTTCCACAATTGTATTTCACTATCTATTACTCTATATACGAAATCACTTTTCTATTATTATATCAAACTGCATAACTAACTTTCTCTTTCTCTTTCAGCATATCTGGAACATTCCTATCGGTTATTGATAACAGCATATTGTAAATTACCAGACACATGAGTTAACAGGAAATACGATTGTACTACTCTCTCGACGTATCGATTCAATCGAAATCGTTGATTGAACTTCGTACAGACTACTCGTCAAGAGTCATTTCAGGAACGAATATACACGTATCACAATTACACGGAATAATAGTCAGTCAACTTGTTAAATATCTATTTCGAGGATCATTCATTAATTTTTACAAAGTTATGACCAAACATTGTCGGTATTCTAAGCGTTTAATATTTTCATTAACGATAAGATAATAAATGTGTTGGTTGAAATTTTTCATTTTGAAATCATTTTAATAATTCTTTTTCTTTTTTTCTTTTTTTTAGATTGTTATAAGAGAGAAAAAAAAATACGAAGGAAATTAATCGAACTATTCGAAGATAAAAATAAAAAAGAAAATAAAATAAAATATGAACTGAAATCAGTTTATACATCCTATCCTTAGAAATATTATTCGTGAATGTGAGACAATGAGATATTATATATTTTGATTAATAATACCTGTTCGTGCATTGGAAATATCCCGCCGAGAATAATATCGCCATTAATCCTTATCAATTTGGAACCATCCTTGTTCCCATCCTTCCTTTGATAAGCTTCGTTCCTCGGGAAAAGGAAATAGAAGACCATCAGGTATGATAATAAATTCCTTTGCATCAGGTTCATCATTTTCACCATCTTCGATTGACACAACTGAAAATGTAATTAACATTTTCCTTTCTTTTTTTCTTTTTCTATTTCTTTTTCTTTTTATATTTATATTTATCTTTTCATTGTTTGTGTAAATTTATGTCCAGTGCTTTTAAAAGATTACAAAAGTTTACGCGAGAAACATTTCTGGCATGCTACAACTAAACTAGCTAAACACTTTGCTAACATTATCGTTTTTATGTTTATATATGTTTATATATGTTTGTGTGCGCACACTTGTGCGTGAGTGTGTGTGTATTGGAATGTTTGCAACATGGATGGATGAACGTTCAAACTCTGTGTTTAAAGCTTTTATCAAAGTCAAGAAGAATTTGCTTTATCGAGATATATACTGGGTTAACTTAAAGTTTTTAAATCAACCAAAACTTCTTCTTATATGCTTATAATCAAATATTACAAATTAAACTTGTACTTTTATTATCTGAATGCAACAAAATGTCTTATAAAATTAGCTTAAAATTTGTATGAGGAAATGGGGAGAGGGGGGGGGGATTAAAAAAGATTTGATTTGTAAAAATAATAAATTTGTAAAAATATCATAATAGCGTGTAAGAAAATTTATAGATTTTTATCGAATAAATGTAAGTTGAGTATCACAAAGAGAAAATAAAATCTAATGATTAAATACTACGAATAGAAAGAGAGAGGATGTTCGGGTAAAATACTCGTTTCAATAAAAATATTGGAATTCGATATAACCAAGCAACGAAGGAAGAAGAAGAACTATACCAATGTTACAATCAATTCAGTCAGCCATTTCGTCTACTATTTTTTATATATCATCCTTTTATATAGAAAATGTGAACACATACGATTTCGATTATTAGATACAGATATGCGTACATCTATTTTCAAACTCGATTGAACGTATATGTATACAACATGGAGACAACAACGGAAATATCAATGAGGAGCTTTATCCGCTGTAATAAATAAAAAAAAAAAAAAAGAGAAAGGTTTTAAGGTAAGAGACAAAACTTTTTGAAACTTCCTCTCCTTCTTCACTCATTCTCTGTCTTTCTTTTAGTCTATACCAGGTGCTTTTAATTACTCACCGGGAAGAGATATTAAAGGAGAGAATAACTAGGTTGCTCTTTGTCGCTTCAGTGCTTTTAATCGAATCCTTTAAGCCAAGCCCTTCGATTAACGTAACGTTTCATGTGCAAAGTTTCTCTCCCGACGATGTACGGAAACGCATCGATCAATTTATCGCTCCTTGTTTTTTTTTATTAATTCTTTTCTTCCTTTTCTTTTCTTTTCTATTTTTTTCTTTTTATTTTAATTTCTATTATCGATCGATCGATCAATCGACCATAGGGAAAATTTTGCATAGACAAGGAATAAACGAATTTTCACAAAATTTCAACTCTTCTGCGTGCTCAGCGAATCGAAAAACGAAACGTCCGTTTTAAAAAAGCTTCCTCCGTTATAGTTCAAAATGAGTCAGCAGTAACGTTACCACCACCATGGAATAATAATACCTTTAACGTTTTCAAAAAAATAATTTGAAAAATGTGAAAGAATGGTATTGTATTCTTTTTTCTTCTTTTTCAAAAGAGAACAATTACTGCAATTTCATTTCATTGGTATATTTTATTTTTTTTTTTGTATCATCGTCGTCATTAATTAATTTATTATCATAGTATTGTATAATATTGAAAGTGAGAAAAAGAAATAAATTCGATAATGTAAAATAATATTGTCTTAAAAATCTTTTCTGTTTTTTAATATGTATTAAAAGTTTACTTGGATTTGTATCAATGTATAAAAAATACTTGAGGTTAGAATAAAAAAAAGAAAAGAAATAAATAAATAAAAGGTGTCGAGTATTATCGAACGATGAAGGGGAAAGAGGAAGGAACGAAAGGGTAAAAAGAAAATGTTGAAGAAAAGTGAGGAAAAATATGAAAGATCAAGATAATTAAAGTGAAATATAAAGATCAAGATGGTGAGCTTATATTGGCTAAAATTCAATCTGTTCGAGGCACAACTTTCCGTTCAATCGTTAATTGGATTTCTTCGGTGACTTTTGAACGAGCTGACTAGAATTTTCGATGGTGGGAAAGGAAAAGAGAAAAAAAAAATAAAAGTAAAGTTAAAGAGAAAGAGAGAAAGAGAAAGAGAAAGAAGTAGAATAATTATCATTCGGGCCAATTAAGAAGTAAGCCTTATATCTGTCTCTAACAGGTGCCTATTTAAAAGAGAAACTAAAGATGATGTGTATATACAAGGTGTCTAAGAATTTTTCAGTCGAACGATATAATCAAAGCTTTAAATAACCTGTTTATCGAAACATTTTTCTTCTTATTTCCCATGCATAACATCAACCGAAGAAAAAACTCTGACACTGTTTGATCAAAAAAACTTGAGAGACACCCTATATGTATATATACACGCCAAAAATAAAATTTGTTCTTGCGTATACCTCTCATCATTAATTTTATGTAATTTTTATTTTTTTTTTATTTTGCTCCTCTTTCATTCTTCTCCCCCCCTCCTCTTACGACACAAATGTCTACTTGCAATTCCAACATATTTATTTTCATTTTCTATTTTTCTATTTTTATTCCCACGCTATCTTCCTTCTTTTTATATTTTCTTTTAAAAAAAAAAAAAAAAAAAAAAAGAAGTAAAATAATTGGATCGTAGTGTGTATTAACAAAGCTAAGAATAGTGTTCTAAATCGATACTAGTTTTCTTTGCTTATCTTCCAATTAAGCTAATTAATGTAAAGAATCGATCGAATACATAGATCCTTTTTTGTTTAATAATAGAAAAGAATATTTATTTTCCAATAAAAAAAAAAACTGTTCTCTACTCATATATATATATATATATAATAGGATTATATTTTGTATATAAAAAAAATTGTAAGAACAATTTATGAAGAACTTTTTAACGTAACCCGTATTAAGAAATTACGAATAATAAATTCTAGAGAGAAAAAAGAAAACTTGAATAAATAAAACGTTAGTAAGAAGAACTCGAAGAGAAAAATAAAGCGAGAGAGAATAAGAAAAAGAGAGAGAGAGAGAGAGAGAAAGCAATGGAAGGGAAAGAAAAATTAACAAACAAAATGAGAAAAAATACGACAACAGAAGGAATACAAAACGAAAAAAAATAAGCGAGGTCGAGAAGAAAATTGCAGCCCAAGTAGAAAATACTATTATATTGTACTTCTAATGTAACGCTGTGTGTGGTAGAAACGTGCTACGAATTTTCTTGCAACTTTAATACAAGAGTTAAAGTTTATCTCTCTCTCTTTTGTTTTTCTTTTTTAAATCCAGCTTCTTTCTAAAAGAAACGTAAAAAGCAAACCGAATACTCGTTTTTCACGTTTCTTAACAGCATCGAAGTCGATATGGGTTAAAACCAAGAAGCTGACCCTTCCCATCGACCATTATCCGTAAAACGATATGCCGACACCATCAACTTATCTTTCTTTTACCGACGAGGATAAAAAGTGTGAGAAAAATGGAGAGAGAGAAAGAGAGAGAGAGAAAAAGATAAACAAGCGAATTTGTGATGTGATAAAAGTGTCGATGAAAGGACAAGACAATATTGTGTAAAAGTATAGTTTTTTTTTTGTTTTCCGTTTTTTCTTTGTTCTTTTTTTTTTCTCCTCTTTTCCAACTCTCCGTAATATAATTTTGTATTATGTCATATCTTGTGAACACGAAGGAAAATGATACTACACTATAATCAAGGAAAATATATTATTAGATAGGAACACATTAATTTTCACTCTTTGCGCGTGTTCATTTCAATCATTAATTAAACTACTTCGTAGAATTATTCCCATCTCATTTATCATTTCGCATATATGTATAATATTTGAACGATGAGTGCTCTGTTTTAATTTTAGATACGTTGAAACGATTATTAATAATTATTCTATTTTTTATTTTAATATAAATAAAATTATAAATTAATATCGTTGTAATTATATAAAAGTTCGCTTGAATTTAAAATAAAAAGAGATAAGAAACTAAATTTTTGTTAGAAAAAAATTTTGGTTTATATAAATTGTAAATTATTGATTAATTAATTGATTAATATATATAAGATTTTTCATATCGGTCATACATCATGTATGTCTTTTCTTGGCTAAATAATATGAGTTCTGATGAAAATACTTTTTTATTAACAATTTGTTTACAATAAATTATTAATTAATTATTAACAATATGTTTAGAAAATAGAGGAAAGTCTGTCCTTTAAAATGATGTATTGTTCAAGCTCTTACGATTTTTAGTTTCTGAGATATTCTTATTGGAAATGTAAGACGTTTACGTTGACCCACTGACCTACATAATTTCATTCAATTTGAATCAATGTCTTACTGACCTACATAAATTCTAAGAATTTACTACGCATCTTTACTACTACTACTATTACTACGAACAAGTGCATTAAAAAACTATGAATGAAAATCTTTCAAAGGTGATATCTTCGAAATGGAAAATCTTAGAGATTTGCAACCAACACTATTTTAAATGACAGAACTTCATCTATTATTATAAACATATTGTTTATAATTAATTTGTTATAAACAATTTATCATAGACAAATGCTTACATTATTTATCTTATTGTATGTACTAGAAACGAAATTTAAACTAGGAATTATCTATAAAATATAACATGAAAATGAATAAAAAATTATTTATCAAATTGTGTGATATTGTTTATATAACAATGTCTTTTATTTAAATGGAAATATCTCTGGAACTTTAAATCGTAGAGACTCCAAACAAAGACTATTTTTAAGTGCCAAATGTTATCTACTATTCTATGATATTGTTATTAAAAAATTAATTTGTTATAAACAATTTGTTGTAAACAAAATCTCGTAGACTAAATTTATTTCACTGTACCGCGCGAGACATCATTCAGATTACGATTGATTTATATATATAAGTTAACAAAAATTGATAAATAATTAATAAATAATAAATTAATTGTTTTTTTTTTCTAAAACCA